GAATCACTCTCTCTGAAACTACCTAGTTAACAGAGAAACCCTAATACAACCCTGTATCAAAACACCCGGAAGTCTCCACGATCTCCCGACCGACTTTTCTCTCAAACTAGAATCACTTGCACACTCAAATGCCCTTTGATCTTGTTCGTTCTAAAAGTCTATCTATTCCTTATTCCAGGCGCTATATATATATATACTCCTCCTTTGTAGCCGTTTGAGGAGAACGTTGGACTTGCCTTCTTTGTTTCCCCTTGCAATCGCCACCTTCCGTCTTTGTAACCAATCGCATGATTCTGAGAATTTGATTCCATCTGGAGTTGATTTCCGAAATTGCGATGCTGACCTCAACAAAGTTTTGGGAGAATAGGAAATTTTTGGAGCCATAAAGTTTGTGGTGGTGATTTTTCTTTGTTTTTTAATGCTTAACACAAGCAAATATGACAAAAATGCCTTTTGTCAAAAATGAAGCCGCTATATTATGATGAGCATGGCTTTTGTCAAAACCGAAACCACTATATTATGACAAACATGCCCTTTTGTTAGCTCGTCGTGGAACTATTGCTATCTATTGTGACAAAATACTTTGTCATTTAAATAATTTAGGGAGGCATAATATGACAAAAGCTACTCTCGCGATATAATTTGTCATATCACCATACTTATTATGACAAAAAAAAATACAAATTTTTTTTTTTTTTGCCCTAATAGGACGAATTGGTTGTAGTGCGAAGAAGCTCTATGTGAGGTTGCGCATTCCAAATATCCCTTACCTACATCATGTATACGAAAACGAGATGAAATATGAATGTGATAAGTGGGTTGTCATCCTAAACAACTTAAGATTACCATGCCTTTTCTCGATCTCATGACCAAAATTCCTGATGTGTCTGGTTTGTCAAAGTAATTCTAATGGGCAAAAGAAAATTGAAGAAGTGGCAATGATGATTCTTATTTCAAAAGCGTCATTGTTGATCAATTCTAAGTAGTGGCGGACCCAGAAATTTTCCATAGGGGTGTCCTCTTTTAAAAATAAATTAAATAAAAATAATTAATAAAAATAAAATCGTAAATTTGAAAATACCTTACTCGTACAGGTTAAAAAAGTCCATGATTTATTTTCTTATTCGGAAATAATTGTAGAATACACTTGGTGTCTATAGTGTTAAAAAAATTCTCTATATACCCTACTAGACAATCATTCACGAACTTATCGCATATTCGATTTGTAAACCTGTTCTCGATGTAACCCAAAGCTGAAAGACTCTTTCAACACTTGTGGTATTAAGGGTAGCTTGAAATTAGTTTAATTGTTAGGTTTTTAAAATAATTAGAGATAGGAAATGACATTTTACTATTACATTTTTCAAAATCGAACAACAAATGAGTTGTAGGTCAACGAAAATTAAGTTTATTAATAAGAATAGTGTTCTAGATTTGAATTACCCAATCTACCACTTATATTCCTATGCACAAATGACAATAGGATAATCATGTTTTCAAATTTTAGTGGTGTCCCTCACTATCAATTATATTTTTTTTTGTCCATACGTAAATTACCACCAGAGGTTGGATAATCGTATTCCCAAAATTTAGGGGGTGTCCGGGGACACCCCTAAAAGCCCCTGGGTCCGCCCCTGAATTTCTAAGATACCTCTGAAGCTAAAGGATCCTAGTACTCTCTTCATTTTTAGCACCATTGGTATCTTTGACTACATGAACCTTTAACTGATTTGGGGATAGTATCAATGTCATGTCATATAAGATCTTCAAAGAACTCTGGCTAGGTGGCCTTAAAATAACTAATATGGAAATTAGATAGGTTGATCGGTCATTAGTTTGATCTATCAAAGTTTATCAGGTGTTATTAGGAAAGTGTCTCACTTTATTTTCATGCCAGGCTTTCTTTTAATTGTTGGAAATGGAGGGAGACAAGAGATAACCTCTCATACTTGAAAGACCATTTCTACCAACGTCTCGGCAATCATTGATGTACCAAGGGGAAAATGTTAGTGGTGTGTCTGAATTCCATCTAATTGTATAGTTGTTTGGACACTTGTGCTATGATTTCACATCTTGTATATATCTATATAAATGGGAGGCTTTGATGAACTATTTTATTTTTTATAAAGTTTCACTTATCAAAATACATGACAATGACCACAGAATATTGCATAATTGATATGAATTCTTAAAAAACCCTAGTCAAGTATATTAACAAGAACTTGGCCAGCTCTTATACAATTAGTCTAGTGCACTTGTAGATGCTTACAGAGTTAAAGGATGCACGTGTGAGTGACTAATTTAAGCAATTTACTTGTCATCTCTAGCTATCTTAGACATCTCAAAAAGTTAACACTATAGTTTTATATTCCTCCAAAAGTTTATGGCTAGCACCATGTGATAGAGGTGATCCGATCAAATTCCATGTGGATAGTAATAGAGGAGTAGGCTATAAATATTGCAGAGGGATCTTGATCCTATAACCTTCTTTTTGCGACATTCTAAGGTTATAATTTTTAAACTCTGGTACTTAATGCATCACTTGGATCATAGAGGGGTTTGGTTATATTTCCATTGTGTCTTTGAACCACGAAACCCAACAAAATAGTATCTTCAGGTATGGATATCAGTTTGTTTACTATGATATGTTTGATATCAATTCAAGGGACACGTCAAACATGCATGTGATAGACTTTGACACCTTGACACCCCCTCTCCACCAACTTGGATTTCACGACAATAGCGAGGTGGATGACCTGGCCAAGAATCTCGAGGGGGATTTATCACCACCTAGTCATTCTTTATCATTTTAGTATGTATAAATTATCCTAAAGTCATGCTATTTGGGAGGAAGACCAACATAAGTTTGATTTCTTCAACATTAAACTAGAATTGCATTATGAATCTTATTTTATGGAGTATTGAGTTTGAAAATAATGAATAAGCCTTGGATGCCTAGTTCTTGAGTATATACATGTGTGGAACTGGTCGTATGATGTTTGAGGAAGTTTAGGTTTGTTGAATATAATTTTTTGCCCAGTTTTTTTGAGATCGCGACCAGCAGAGGGTAGATCGCGATATTTACCCATTGCATGTGAAATTTGTACTAAGCAAATCTAGGATCATGAGCATATTTTAAATTTTATGGCCCTGTTCTTTAGGAAGATCGTGAAACCTCCCCTTTCATAATTTTATGACCGATAATATCTTCAACCCCTCATTTCTCTCCCAAAACCGACCCAAACACCATTCCCTATAATTTTCCTCATCAAAACCACACCCACAATTCATTTTCTCCATTTATCTCTAATTTTCTTCCATTCTTTGTGTATTTTCTTACCTTTCCACCATCTCTACTTCATCAAACAGGTAAGTGGCACTTTTGTCCTCTCTAAATTTCTAGAAACCCTATCTTTTGGGCTTGTGATGGGGTGAATGGGAAGTGCCACTACAAAATATTGTAGCTATCCCAGCGGTTCCTTAGCTGGGGTTTAATAAACCCTTGCTATAGCTTCCAGAACTTGCCATACCAGCGGTTGGTTTCAGCGGTTGGATAACAGCTGCTGCATCTAAAGCAATATTACGATCGAAATATGAAACATTCCCTTTCCTCGCTCAGTTCCCATCCTTCTTCAAATAGAAATACAAAATAGAAAGAAGGGAAAATCAGAAAATGCTGAGCTGCAGCTATGGCGTTCATTCGCTCCAAGCTTCGATCGCGGAGAAGTAGTCGGACGATCGTCACCGGCTTAATTTATGGGTCGAAGTGCCCCTGAAGCGGAGGATAGAAGCCGGAGAGGATGGCAAGCGATTGAGGGGATGACATCTTGACACTATTCAGCAGATCTAGGGTTTGGCGAGCTCCGCTCGATTCTAACTCATTCCCCATGCCTTGATGGAATCGCAACCGGCGTCGTGACAACGACATGAAGCATTACGAGCGCGATTCTTGCTCTAGGAGGTACCTCTTCGTCTTCGCCTGGGAACCAAGGCCAACCAGTCAAATTAGTGGTGTGTGAGATTAAATTGTTGCTTGTTTCAATAAGTTGTTCTGTGAATTGCAGTTAGCGACTCAATACATTACTGGCAATGTTCAGGGTGAAGCGGCTGTAGCTGGAGATTCTCGTTGGATTTCTGCGGAACTTTTGAGATTTGTATGTTCTTAATCTTGTGGGCAGTTTGACTAGGAAGTACATAATTTGCATACCATCGCACGAATTTGTTGTTAATATATGGAAGATTTAGGTATAACCTTATAATAGCATATACCATCGCACGATACTGTTGTCAAGATATGGTAGTTAAGCTCTGACTTTACATATATAGTTGTCATTTTGGGCAATGCATTGCCGATTACATTCAGTCTTAATGTTACTCTTACCATCCTTTCAGCTTAAGTTTGAAATCATTGTCAGAGATTTCTACTTCCCTCATAGGCTTAGGATGTTTAATCTTCGATTTACTGCAGTTGGTTAGCTGATCCAAAAGTGGGAAGCTGGAGTCTCTTGGTTATAAAGAGGGTTACAGGGTTGCTGTTGACATCCCAGAAGGCACTTGGTCAGTGCTCCAAGCTTCCATGATATTATGATCTTGGTAATTTCTTTGTTCAATTACATTGGTTTCCTTGATTAATAATTATGATCATCTGGTTTAATACTCTGGTAGCCAAGCTAGGTGAACATTTATCCCTTTTCTCAACTGGATTCCCAAAAATGAGCTTCCCTCCTAGACAAACTAATTATATAAAAAGGCAAGCATAGTTAACTTATGACAGAGCAGTTCTTACACTAATTGGAATGCTTATACTTAGCAAAAATGAGCTTCCCGGGTACTCAAATCTTGTCAAATAAATGTTCAAGTCATGAATGCCTTTTGCTTGGCTTTAATTTTGTTTAGTGACCCTGACTCATTGTATTTCCTTCCTCTGTCTTTAGTATATAAACCATTAATTTTGGGACTTTACTTAACTTTCGATCATGTTTACTATACTTGATATTTCAGGTTGTGAGAGAAATCAACTACATAGATGATGGGTAGAAGTCAGAACTGAAGATGGGTCGAGTTCTCAAGCAAAGTACATCATTGTTTCTGCAAGCATATGAGTTCTATAGAGTAACCTCATTGAGTTCAAGCCACATTTGGAGCCTAGGAGGCTTCACTTTATATATGCATATTTGAGAGATGTAAAAGCGGAATCCTTTCCCGCTGTCCTTTTGTAGTTTTCTGACTTGGGCTTTGCTCTATTTTGAGAAATCAGATTTCATTTTTTCCTAAATCATTTGTTTGGTCGTTGCAGGAATTGTCCCTTGTGCTATTCTACTTTTTGGGTCGCTTCTCATCCTAGAATCTCCCAGATGACGGGTACCTTAAATTATGCTATATCTAGAATTTTAGAATCTAACCAGCTGGTTTTGAATTTCTGTTGACAAGAATGAATGTTTTTCATATGTTATGCATGCAAGGATAGGTCATGAGAAGGAGTTTGTGGTCACATTGCAGGTTGTTTGGTTTGTCTATAAGATAGCCATGAAAGAAATACAACCTGACATGTTTGGTTTGATCTTGTTACAGGGTGCTTGTAAGCCATTTCATTAACCTGCCGGTAACTCCCATAGGTAATAAGCCTTTATGAGCTTTGTTTAATTAAACAACGTCCTATTGTCAATCAACACCCATAACTCATTACACTTAGTTATACTTTTTTGTGTTTGTAACCTCATCCTAACTTCACCATAACATATCTTAGTCTTCAAAAGCATTTTTGCTTATTCGATTCAAAATCAACGAATGGACACTATCTTTCTACCCAGCCCTCATGCTAGAAGGATTTGCTTAAAATTATAGCTATCCTCTTATCACTTATTAATTTAACATACTTGCAGGTTATTTAACAGCCAAAACCATGTCACATTCTACACATCAAACAATAATCCATCCTGCTCCTAGGTAACACTATGCAACTTTTCAGCTTATTTTTTCTTGCCTTCACTATTTTCTCATGCACTTTATGGTTCTGCAGCTTCGACAATGATTACTAGGAGGTTCTTTATGTCTTTCTCTAGATAGCATCCATTAACTGCTACGTCAACAGTGATTACTTGTGTTTCATTATATATACACAAATCCTGGGTTGGGAATGTCATCTGAATTGTTCATTTGCTAATTCAGGGAAGCTGAGGAGCGTAGGCAGATAATGTTGAGTCAGATATTGTCTGCTCAAGCTCGAGAAAGACGTAAGTGAAATGCAGGTTGCAACTTGTGAATCTTTCAACCTGCTAAATTCACGTATACAATTCGTTGGTGGTAAAGGGCTATTGTTGGCTTCAACATTATGTGGTTTTTTCCTTAAGAAAGGAGGATTCATTCAGTGTGTTGGATTATGTATGTGACCATACGTTGCCTCTTTTGCAGTTGCTAGAATTGCACTAGTCAAGCCTGAAAAAGCTGGAGGTGTTGAAGACGTTATACTTCTAGCGGCTCAAATGGCTCAATGAGATGGAGTTTGCTGGATTCGGCTCTCAAGCTGGAACTGTCTCATATCACCCTTTTGCAGCTTCCAAGTAGATGGTGTCTACATAAGAAGCACGGAACTTGTATAAGCTATTGTTTGGAACTCTTTTGATTATTATTATTATTATGATGTTAGAAGATACTATTTGGAACTCTTTTGATTATTGTTGATAAGACGATGTTCTATTTACATTCATTATTGACAGGAAACTTTAATATAACTCATTTTCATAATTATTGGCTTGTATCTAGCCACGAAAAAGACTGTGACTAGTGGTTTGTTTGTAGTCATGGGAAAATGCAGTGACCAATGATTTGTAATTAGGTACAGGGAATACCGTGTATAGTAGTGTATATGTAGTCACGGCAAAACTTGGTAGTACAATACCGTGATTAATGATCCACATCTAGTCACAGGAAATACTTTTATCATTAATCGACATCTAGTTACGGGAACTGATTTTGCCACAGTAAATACCGTGATTAGTGATCCACATCTAGTCACAGGAACTGATTTTGCCACTGTAAATACAGTGATTAGTGATTGACATATAATCACGGGAAACGATTTTATCACAGTCAGTACTGTGTTAAAATGTGTACATCCCGTGTCTAAATTACTTATTTTCCCTGTTATTGTGCTCCAATTTTATGCACTGGACACGGGACATCCTGTGACCAATAGGTACAAATCATCACAGGAAATTATGCCGTGACTAGTTATAATTAGTCACGGTACGAGTTTCCTGTGACCTTTACAATTAGACACAGAGGTATATATTACGGTAATTTTACCGTGAATAAAACTATTAAACACGGGAAACACACTTTCAAACACGGGATTCACCGTGCTTAAATGGTCTTTTTCCTGTAGTGATCCTAATATGGCTCAAAGACTAATAACCATATCTAGATAAATCCTAATAACATTAATATTGATAATTATGGTTAAACTTAAAAAGTAGGTTTCCATCATCCCCTTCCCCTTGAAAACCAACCTTGTCCTCAAGGTTGACCAACTCGACCCATTTCTTCACATCGTTCGTGCAACCCGCGCATTTGATCTTCCATTTCTTGCGCTTTCTTTTCTTCCAATCTTGCTCTACCACTCGCACTCGAATGAAGTCAATTCTGACGACTCCGACTCCAATGGCCTCTTCCCAATCACGTGGTTCAAATTGCAACCATGGCCAAATGACCATTTATCCTCCTCAAACTCTACAAAATAAGAATCATAGAGTTCTTCTTCTTGGAGCCCATCATCTAAGCCCATGAATCTCTCTTCATTTTCTTTCAAGCCCACCCCATATAAGAGAGACTCAATTAAACAGCCCAATGAAAGCCCAATTGAAGCTTGCAGATGCAGCCCAACTTCCTCTAAGTCTCGGCCCATGATCTGGTATCAGAGTTTGGTTCCTTAAAAACTCCAGCCCAGGCTACTCAACCCTCTTCTTTCTCATCTGCGGCCCAATACTTGGCTCAAACGGAGCCCAATTCGCCAAATTTCCAACCCCAATCGGCTGGTTCAGCTGGCCCAGCTCGAAACCCAAGCTCCACTGGCTCATCTCCTTGATAAGGCCCACTCGCCCATTCGAGACCAGCCCTGCGACTTCCTGCCCGCGAGCCAGACTTCCACGGGGCCCACAAAACCACTGCAGACTCGGCCCGCAACTTACTCCCTTCTTTGACCCCAACGTTGGCCCATCAGGCCCAGCATCCCAAACATACAGGCGGCCCAAACTTCCCTGCCACTGCACGGATCGACCCAAGGCTGAGAACCTAGGGTTCGTGACGATGTCGCCGCCGTAGACCTCCTCCTCTATCTCCTTCGTCGAGCTGAACAACCGGCGAAAAATCCCAGCAACGCCCCACGTCATCTCCGACAGCGCCTCCTCGACGATCGCCACCATGACAGAAGTGGCCCACCTCTTCTTCCTCGTTTTCTCCCACGTCAGCGAGCAGCGTACTAGGCGATTCGAGGGCCAGTCCGACCCCGGCCTCGCCTTTGGCTCCTCCATCTCCGGCGGTGCGTGGGAAAGCTCCCCGCCGTCGCAGAGCCCCGACGCCGGCGAGCCGTCGCGGGCGAGCGCCGCCCCGACACGCGTCACGCCGCGTCCATCGCCAGCTGCGGCCGCCTCCCCTGCCGCGACAGCGGCCTCCTCGATCGGCGGGTCTTCGCGCGGCAGCGCCCCGAGCGCCAGCTCCCCCGCCGCCACCTGTCGCGGCCGCGCCGCCGGTCCCCCGGCCGGGTCGTCCGCCTCTCCCGCCTGCCAGCCCTTCGCGCGCTCCGTTGCGGCTTGGTCGGCGCAAATAGCATCAAGGGTCCGTTGGATACGGATCCACACTGGATCAGAGAGCCACGATGAGCTCATTGGAGGCTCTGATACCAATTGATAGAACCTGGGATTATGGTTCTATCGGGAATTGGGGATTTAGGGATTAAGAACAAAATTAGGGATTTGAGAAGAGAAAGATAGAGAATCGGCCTAGGCCTTTAGAGGGATTGGGAACGAGAATTGAGAGGATTGGTAGAATAGGGTTTCTTAATATTCTTCTTGACTGATTACGAATGAAGGACCAATTACATATTTATAGCGAAAGACTAGAAAAACCTAATAGACTATCCTAATATGGCTCAAAGACTAATAACCATATCTAGATAAATCTTAATAACATTAATATTAATATTGATAATTATGGTTAAACCTAAAAAGTAGGTTTCCATCAGGATGCCTAATCAAGCTGGTTTAATTGCTCAGCCAATTCAATCGCTGTTGTATCACTCACAGCAAATTTTGCACTCTTGCACTGTAACAACTGTTTCTGAAGATTTTGTATGAGCGCATTCAGCTCCTGAATTTGTTTGCAACTTTAGAAAATCGTAACACAATCAGAAGAAGGATAAGCTCAGTGAACAGTATGAGAACACAGCAAACCAACAAAAGGAAGATAATGTGCATCAGAAAGAGTTTCAGTTCTACACTTCCGCTGTCTCATATCAGAATTAGAAAGGCTGGATATGCAAGTATAGGCTAATTCAGTACCTTTACTATGAACAACAGAGCAAATCTCCCCATAATAGCCTCCAAGTTCAACACGTCCTTATGCCTGGAAATGCACGTAAAGTTTCATTTTAGTCTCCGGAGCTGCTATTGATCAAAATGGGGTGACTGAAAATCATTGCTTCACAATCCCTCAACAGCTTACCTACTTCTACTGAAGCTAATGGAGGGAGATCCCAAAGAAGAAAAGGATTAAACAGGGTTCCAGTAAAGTGAAACCACAATCCACGGTCTCGGCATGTTTCCATAGCACCACCGGCCGACGAACAATAGAAGCTCCCTATCGCGAATTTTATTTCTGGACAGCTGGCCCTGTCTGTTGGTCGGAGCTCCTCCAGCCACCAAACTATGTCTATGGAGCAGAAATTTGTAATTTAACAGCCGTGGCCCACAAACTTAGGTCGACTATCTCTTTTTGCGACTGGACTGGAGCAAACACTAATGTTCAATGGGTATGTCTCCGTTTATACTATAGGCAATTAAAATTCATTTCGTGCTTTACTGTCAGTTCATCGTCTCTTCATGGATTGGTAGTGTGATGTGAACTTTAGCTCAGAGGCATTCCAATTTGGACTCTTCTTGTCGGCAAACTTCAATTCAGGGCACACCTTGAGCTGCACCACATTTGGCAGCACAGTCGGAGTTGTCCAAACTGGAGGAGAGCAGGAAAAGAAAAACGGTCCGAGATGCTGCTTTAATCATTGAAATTACGAGAGGGTGCTGCTTCATGAGCACAACAACAGCAGCCCCAAATGCACTTCTACTTGGCAGTTTGAAACTACGAGAGGCTGCTGCTTTCATCATTGAAATTTTATGTGTTTAAGTTTTAACAGAACGAGGTTTGTAATTACACCAATGGCCACCACTGATTCTGCATTCAGCTAGCACAAACCATCTATGGCATGAGCTGCTTTTGCAGAGGGTTGTCGAGAATGAACAAGCTCAGCTTGCATTGTCCATACAGAGAAGGGATAAATAGAATTGTGCAGCAAATATGCCACCATGGCTCTCGACTGGATGCATTCTTCATTCACGATCAAGAGAGAATGGAAGGCGAAACACCGATAATATTGACGACCAGAAAGTCGCAATTCTGGATTCATCACACAGTGACACAATTCAGTAATTCACTATAATTTGAATCCCTAGATCCATGTTAGGTCAACCAAGATCAAAGCACTCACTTAAATCGAGAAATGCTTAGCAAACCGAAAAATTCATCCAAATTAAAACCTAAAGAACAAGGACACCATTTTCCTCCACAATTCATCCAAAAGGACCAAAACCCTATCAGCAGCAATGGCAACAAAAGTTCTCCAACAACATTCAACTAACTATGAAAGCTATAGCCCAGAAAAAGCAAAAAGGCAATTGCATCATTAACTCTATCACACTAATCTTCAGTACCTCCCACGGCCGCCGCCTCTTCCAAACCCGAATTGAGCAACGGTAGCTGCGACAGGATCGATCGTTTCAAGCCCCTGCATATCACCCATTCCTAGAGCAACAATCATATCTTTAGTCTCCTTATCGATCTGAATAGTCTCGACGTTGATGGCAGACTGTTCGGGGACAAAGTCCATGCGGCGCTCGCGCTCTTCCTCTTGGAGCTTTAGGGAGATCCCACGGACGGGGCCTTTCTGGATCCGCTTCATGAGATGGGTGGAGAATCCGGCGATCTTGTTGCGGAGGCGCTTGGAAGGGATGATTGCAACTTCCTCCAGGATCTTCTTGTTCGTGTGGAAATCGAGCGTCATTTTGGAATAGTAACGCTCGATCACCTGGCGAGAGGATTTCTTCACGGTTTTAGTTCGGACGCGACCCATGGCAGCTTCTGCTGGTGCGGTCTCCTCTCCTGCTGCCCCTGCGCTGGGAACGAATAAGCCTCCGAGTTTCTGCGCGGAGAAGACGAGCTGAAGGCCAAGGTACAAGTGTAAAATTAGGGTTTCGCGGGACTGCGGGAGTTTATATCATCAGGATTGAGTCGGGTTTTGTTTGAAATGGGCTTATAGCCTGCCATCATTCATTTGCGGGCTTATATTCAGACTTTTGTGTTACTGGGTCGCACAAATTTTCTGTTGTTATGCTAGGGCTAAATGCTACTTGCACCGTTGTAGTGGAGTGTACGGTGTACCACCTAATTCATTTTTTATGGAAAGGTTAATATCTAATCGTATAATCAATTTTGGTTCGTGGTTTCAGAAATTAATATTATGGTCTCAACTATGCACTAAATAAACTCAATTGGTCCGACGTGAATTTCCGTCAAATTAGACGGTCAACACTGTTGACCAATAGTGAATTAGCATGCTACGCTGACGTGGATGCCGCTGTGTTGCATCTTCCCCAATCCCCTTCTCCAGGTACGGTATCGGTATCCCGATTCCAAATACCGAAATCTTGTATACCGAATTACACCCTAAAATCAATCACAATCTCAATCCCTGTATAATTTTGGTATCCCAATTCCAATCCCTAAATATTTTGGTGTCCCAATCGGTACTTGGTATCCCAATCGATCAAATACAAAATTAATTATCTTTAATTAAAATATAGAAATTAGATTTTATTGCCTAGAGCTAGGATATGGATAAGGAGAACGGAGGAGAGGTGACATCTCAAGTTCTTATCATTGGTAATCTTTAATTTGACGAATTGGAGGTTGAGAGACGACTAATACTAGTATTTGCATTTTGGTGTAATGAAAATTACTAGAGATTAGGTGAGAGAAGAGAGTGACTTAAAATTGGAAAGTCAAATTTAAGTTGCACGAGGACTTCTAAGTTGTGAAATAGTGATGAAATGATGTATGTATAATTAAATGAGACTCTTGGTGGTTGAGGGTCGTCTAGTAGTGAATGAGAGAATCTAGTTGAGAGGATAAAATACTCACTAGCTTATATTTTGGTATTGATCGATATTTCGGTATACACCAATCCCAATCCCATAATCTCTAATACCGAGTAAAAATTGAAATTCAATCACAATCTCAATCACAAAAAATAATACGTGTATTCGGTAATATCAAATATAGACAAATTCGGTATGATATTCGGTATATCCCAAATATTGACACCAAACTTTCAGCCCTACCCTTCTCCCAAATCGATTCCCTTCTAACCCAATCCCCAATCCCCTTTCCACTAGGTCGAAACCTTCCCCAATCTTTTCTTAATCCATGCACCAAACAATCTTTTTCCAAATCCCCTTCCCACTGCGTTGATGATGTTAGATTGAAGAAGTGGGAGAGAAACCCAATCCCCTTCTCACTGGGTCGAAATCTTCCTCAATCTTTTCCCAATCCCTAGACCAATAATCTTTTCTCACATCCCCTTCCCACTGCGTTGATGATGTTAGATTGAAGAAGTGTGAGAGAAACTCAATCCCCTTCCCACTAGGTCAAAATCTTCTCCAATCTTTTCCTAATCCCTTCACCAACAATCTTTTCCCAAATCATCTTTCCAATGCGTTGATGATGTTAGATTGAAGAAGTGGGAGAGAAACCCAATCCCCAATCCCCTTCCCATTGGGTCGAAATCTTCCCCAATCTTTTCCCAATCAATGCACCAACAATCTTTTCCCAAATCCCCTTCCCACTGCGTTGATGATGTTAGATTGAAGAAAGTCGCGACTACCACCGCCGACTCACTGCATCACCAGTAATCCATCCTGCTGACGCCCACGCTAGAGATTCCCTCGGCGATGCCAACGCCTGCAGATACTAGAAGCTGGAGAAGAACAAGTGGAAGGAGAGAAAATTGCCCAGCAAGAAGGCACCGTTGTTGGGGAAGAGCAATTTTTCATCATCAAGAAGGCGCTATTGTTGGGGAAGAAAGCAGGGTCAATTTCAGGTCCGTGCTTGATAGCTTGACGAGGCAAAAAGAAGCCCAAGTCTAGTTCCATTGTTAATTACCCTTCTCTGCTGAGGTTCTGAATTTGTCTCTTTTGGGGTTAGTATTGCAGTTCGGTAAGTCAGAGAGAGGGTTGGGAAAGGATCGTTGGGGAAGAAGGGTTGGGTAAGGGATGGGGTTGTGTGGCCTGACCGTCTAATTTGACGGAAATTCACGAGTCTGGCCAATTGAGTCTATATGGTGCATAGTTGAGACCAGGATGTTAATTTATGAAACCACGGGCCAAAGTTGATTATATGGTTATAGTTCAGGCCAAAATAAGGTATCAAACCCAAACTAAACTATGCAAGTAAACTTATAATGTCTAATTTTGAGAGGGAGGCCATCTTGATCACTCCTCTCCAATGCCTCGATCTTAGCTTTGGTCGTTGCTTGTTCTTGAAGTACGGTATTTAGTTGGGCGTTGATTTTTTGTAATGTTGCCGCCATGTCTTGAATCTGATTCTCCATTGTTGATTGATTAAGAAGGCTCCCACGAAATCACTGCTCCAAGATAACCTTTTTGTCGCTCAAGAAACCTTCAAAAACATCCAAGATTTGCTTTCTTGACGGTAAAGACTCCCAAGAATGCTTTAAGAACCATCAAGACTACAAGAATATTTTTCTTCTCCACTGTGTTTGAACCGGGCTCTAATACCACTTGATATGACTCTAATTCAAAGAGTACCTCGAATGATATAACCCCAATTGGACCTCTATGTAAGCTCCAATGGGTTGAAACAAGAGCAACATCATCCCACGAAAAAGAAGGCTGAATTTTTGGTTAAGTTCTTACTTCGTTTTGGGAAGTCAACTTTGGAGGTCTTTATCTCACGAATGGCTTGGTAAAAATGGGAGCTCGATGATTTGTTTTGAATCCGAGATGTTTGTCTATGCTTTAGGGTGCGTGGAAGCTCGAGACTTAACCCAGAAGACCATTTCTGAACCCTCACAAAAGTGTATGGCGAAACTGGAAATCCTGGCAAATTGGACTAAGGCAGAATGCAGTATCGAGGAGGCCACTTTGAGTCTCGATTCTGAAAGCTTGGCTGGGAATCAGTCCAGAGGTTTGCTCCACATCAAAGTGCAGGTTTCAGGCTACAACGACAAGGGATTGGGTGATTGGTTTGGTGGTTGGAATAGCTCGAACGAAGCGTCCAAAGATCGTGTCGAGGCATTCTTTTCTGATGTTGGAAACAAGTAATCCGAGTCCGTAGCGGATTAGGATTGGTGGACTGTTTTGGTGTTTTACGTCTTTCCTTGTTCAAGTTTGGGTTTTATTCTAATTGTAATCGGTTTAGGATGTTTTCCTTGTTAAGTAAGCTAGCTAGAGTCTATTTAAACGTTGGTTTGCATTGTAATCAAGTCAAGTTTTAATAAAAAGAACCCTTTGTTCATCGAGTTGTCTCGTGAATTTTGTCATTGGTTTGGTTGGATTAAATCCATCAATCAAGCGAGCTCTGCATCAATTGAGTATTCACTTCAATTGTGGACGAGTTGCGACGTTAGTTCGATCGAGCCTCTTCCCCATTCTCGGCGAGAAGTTGCACGTTCGACACCCATCATACTTCAACCCCTGTTTTTGGTTTCCATCGGATCCAATTTTTGTGGATCTCCGAGGCTGAGTAACTCTGATCAAGAAGCTCGAAGTCTTGGGCTTATCATCGAATTTGGACCAAAACACCAGAGTTGCACACGTCAAACTATGTTAGGGTTTTCTCCTTTCTCGAATAGCACAAAAATGAAGATAGGATGGAAATCAATCAAACAATCCCGAACCTATGGGAAGAGCCAATCGATATAGTCGAACTCGCCACAACTAGATGTGATCTTCTAGTTGATAAGAGTTACTCAAACCTCCCGAACCCTCAAAGGAAATTTAAGCTAATGTTCTAAAAAAACACTATTAGAAACTCTCAATATTGATAAACGAAAACTTGATGATTCCAATACAATGGTTCTGCCCCTTTAAATAGGCAAAATAACCCAAAAACCAAACAAAAAAGGATAACAAAATCCTACTCTAAAAAGCAAAACAAATCCTTAACAAACAAGTAAGAGTCTAGGTCAAACCCTTCTTATTCCATGCCGTAAAATCTGCCCCTTGTGTTCACACTTGGGATTCCATTCACTCTTTCATTCCTTTCACAACATGAGAACCCTCTCTAGGCCGAAACCACCTTCCCTTCTTCCAAGCCCATCTTCTCTTCATTGTGGTCCATAAATTGTAATAATGTAATGTGTTTTCCTCCATGTAACTCTATGGCCATATCCTTCAATTGTGGATCCAAATAACTTGAAACTAGCTCCCTTGGCACGAGTCATTGGGCCTTCTTCTTCAACAAGCAATGTCCTAGTGATGTCTATAAGTGCTTCTTATTATGGTAATTTTGTTCTACTATTTCGTACATCCTATTGAGTCTAATGAGGACATTGTCCTGTATAAAGTACATGGTAGGATTTAGTAGATTGTGCTTCGTATTTCATTACCATTATAATTTGTTTCATTCATACGTATGGGTGACAATTTGTGTGTACATTTGACGTCAATTTTAAAATTTTTGAGTAATACCACACTCCCCAAAGCTCGCCTTACTTTGGATTGCTAGTCTCTGCTTTGAGACATGACCTAGGGAGGAAATTGTAGTGCCTATGAAGGGATGTCCTCGTAATGAGGCTATTGTCCATCCAAAATGTTCAGATACAATGCATACTACTATCCTTTGAGATTTTTCATACTCCACAAAACGAGTATTTTTCTCTTAAAAGCAAAAAGGAGGATGAAGTGTATCTCTATGCATTCGAAACTCCGGCCATGACAAAGAAAATAAATACGCTACCATCACAAAGGTGTGAGGCAATCACTCATTGAACAGAGGGAATGGGAAAGGTTCGATTGAGTATCAAGTCGTGCTCGTACGATGACACTTATCGAG